AATATAATATGGTAGGTATAGGTATGCATAAAAATAATAAACCGGCCAGTGTTTAATAGGTGCCCGAGCAAGACGACAATTTTGAGAACCCACTCGCCGGAATGTGTCGGAGCCCTGGTCGGCTTGACGGTAATAAGAAGTGATACGATCAGAGGTGCCGCCTCTGCTATTTAGTCACACCTGCCATGCGCGGGACCTTTGATGTGGCCGCCGACATAGACGGCGCGCCCCGCGGCTATTACCCACCGCCGTGGCACCGCCGCCGCCGCGTAACTTACCGTAGCGCCGTAACACGACGATGTCCTCCTCCCCTCCGCTAACACCAATACTCGAACCGCCAATACCTGCGGATGCCGCCACTACCTCTACCACCTTCTCCACAGTCCACTACTAACCACCACCACCACTACTACTACTATTACTACTGCGCTTATTACTAACTATATATTACTCGCCAGTCGCCAGTTACTCATTTATATTAATCGTGCGTGAGCTAGGTATATATATGATTATGTAAAATAATAATATAATTACTGTTAATATAACAAAATATAGCGTCGGCGTATAATTAAATAAGCCAGATAATGACATCGTTTTAATCTAATACTATATAGTTGCATTTTATTTAATTATCGGTAAGTTAATATAATATTATTTTATCTATATTCCAGAAATAAATAAAACGATAAATAAATAGAACGACCGGAATTAAATATAAACACACGTCGTGTACAAAACGACCACACTGAGTTTGGAAAAACGGAAACCGACTCGTTGGAAATCTTTTCAGAGTATAAATAACACGAGCACAATACCCGAATACCGAAGATCAAAATAAGTGTGAGGTGGCCGACCATAGAGTAATTACCGAACCGTGACATCGGTCGGCGGTGTTTGCGAGACACACAGGGTAGTCTTGTATGTGTACACATATAAAAATGGACACAAAAGAGAAAAAAATATTTATACCTATCGCCACCCCCGATACTCTAATATGCGTCCAATTAACGGATCTAATTCAAGCATTTTTCGCAAAAATACAACCCTCTTCGCAGTTAGGTCAAGTATACACTGATACAACACACTCCATTACAATTAACTGTGGTTGTGTGCCGGTCTGCGCGGTATAATATTATGTACCTGTCATAAACATACAACGCAGACTTGTATATTATATTATTATGAATGAATTTCTTACAAATAAGCTCAAAGAGATTACAAATTAGTCGTACCGGATTTCGGTCGGTAGCTACTTCTTTATTTTTATGAACCAATAAAGCAGCAACCGCGTCAACCGGTTTTATTTTATTATTATGGTCTAGTATACGCTTTTGTTTTCAACCCTTGGTTTCTCCAATAAAAATAAAAACCTTTTTTATTAATAAAACAGAAATATAATATAGGTATGAAATTAACAATTCAACGATGTAACTTTTTTGTCCATTCGTCAATTCCTGTACGGGTTTGTACAGAGTATTCGTTAAAAGTCGCAGGAGACGATAGATTAAGATTCTGAGTAAGCCGCCAAATCGGCGCATACTTCCGGACACACCCAGTCCCTTAGGCATTTCACTTCACTGCAGTAGTTCATGAGCACGTATAGCGAGCCGACCAAGTACGCTGTAAAATCATCAGACCGTCAGACCACACGAGCCATTAGTGAAATACACTGACGATCGTCTTACATCCAATAATGGCGGCGCTAACGGCCGTCAATAACCACTTGGCAGCCAAATGCGGACGACTCAAGGCGGCGACTGTCGGGGGTTCCAGCGGATAGTCAACCGAATCGGCCGAGCTGCGCAACTTGAAAAACATTTCATCGGCCGGCAGATGAGGATAGTGGTAGTAGTATTCGTAATCGTTACCGTAAATATCGTTATTGAACTTGTTGTACACCAACCACATGCTTTCCGGGCCCCGGAAGTTAATGAAAATCATACTAGAGCGCCGCGCAAAGGTGATTAGCTAATAATTTATAACATATGAGCAAACCTAATCTGACCTATCTTTGTTGCACTTACCCGGTTTCTTCTACGAAACTTGCCAATACCAGACCCGACCAAATGATTATGAAGAGAAGCCAGAAAAACGAACACAACGCTAACGTCATGAACGATTCCTGTAAATACCGGGTGACATAATGATATAGTTTAATAAAAGTATACACGTCGAACAACTATACCGGTGGAATTTGTATGGCAATCAAATTAATAATACTTTACCTTGATGGCGCCGTAAAGCGCAGATCCCCATATAGCGGAAACAATAAGCGCGGCGAACACGACCAACTTGAAGCTGTCTGAAAAACAAAAAAAGTTGGTACATTATGTTTAAAACCGTGATAGCCGGTAGTGTCTGTGGTTGAAATACATACGAGGATAAGCGACTCTGTCGGAAATGTTCACCAAAAGCATGTTCCAAGCCAAATTCTACAATAGATAAATGAGCTTACCGAAGTTATCAAACATACTGGTACACGAACAAGGGCAACGCATTAGAATTTGCTTACCATGAAACCGAAAGCAAAAGACATTACGCTGACTTGTAAGGAAATGCGTCCGAACAAATTTTTTAGCGCCATCTTGGGTTAAGTCAGGTCTGATGCCTACAAAGAGATATTAATGATTGCGGAACGCGCGTAACGAAAAGGTTGTTTGTTAATCCAAAGTGATTTCCAACGTTACTATCTTTTCACACCTGTTTGTTTCCTTATTTACTAAAGATATATACCTATTACTGTGGGTTATATTTTTGTTGTTTTTATTTCACCGGTCTCGTAGCGTTGCCAATAAAAGGCATAGATGTATTAAGTATAATAATATAATATGATACAGCCGATATGTTATATACGATTTATTCTAATATGATTAAGTCGCATAACATGACGGGTGTCCTATAAGGGAGGTAAATCACATGCACTGGATTACGTAATGTTTTCAATTACGCAGACGATTGTTTGTCGGTCGACGATTGAAGCTTAAACTTAACCATAAAAGATAATCATAATTTTACAGCACCGCATAAACTTAAGAATTGTCTCTTTGTGAACATTATAGCAGACACATGAAATTATCAAAACGACATTTTTATTTTGTATCCGTTACACGGTTTTGAAACTAGACTTTAAACCACGTATCTTCTGTTGGACTGTGAAACCTTTGGCGTCGGCCGGGCCGCCGTATCGTCATCGCAAATTTCTTTGCACGTGAAATTCGCTTGGTAACACGTTAGTTCTTTGTAGTAGCTGTACAGTAGCAACCAGCTGCTTACCATGAGCACTGGGATCCGACCAACAGTTTTGGTGTTATTATACTATATCAAGTAGAAGAGTTTAGCTCGTGACACTCACCCGATGTCAGAGCCGCAGCTATGCCGTACACAACAAAGGCGAATAGTTGTCTGGACTCGCGCATTTCCTGTCTGAATCCCGACCAAGCCATGGTGACAGCTTCTTCTTCGGCGTACCCGGCAAAACGGTCTTCGGCCGGCACGTTTAGCGGAGGCTCGTGCGGAATATGATAATAATAGTCTAGGTCCGACTGCATGCTCCTCTGGTAGGGTATGGCGAGCAACCACAGTGTGACCGTGCACCGGCCCTCTATGCATAATTTACTGCGCGACAAAAACGAATGTAGTTTGAATTATTTGACCAGAAAAATTAACTAGAATGTATTGCTGCGTTACTTTCCCGACGACCGCATAATGTTTGACATTATCACCAGAATAATCCACAATGCCAAGTACCACGACCAAAAGAACAATGCCACCGACAGCAGCGGAGCGTTTTCCTGAAATTCAGACATAACATTCGTATCGTTATAATAGCATTTTGATGACACAGAATAGCGTGATTTTGTACACACCATTAGACCTCCGAGAAACGCTACGATCCAAATGATCATCATGACGCCCGCAAATAGCATAATTCCCATTTTCGACGAGCCTACAAACGATAAACGGTTTTATGTTGGGCTAAACCAAAATATCGGTCAGCTTACCCGTGTTTTGGATGTCTTCGGAAACCGCATTAACCACGACGATGGATATCGAAATAACCTAAAACAATAAATAATCGTTTAAACACAAAATACACTCAAGTCAATTTTTCTGGAGCTTGTTATTGGCGCCGATCCCTATTTGCGGATCTGATCGCAACAAACAAAATAAGTCCAATTTCCGTTACACATTTCTATATGTTAGACCATTACTTTCTCGGATCGCCCGAGTAAATCAGTTTTAGGTATAAGAATTCGGCGCCACTGAATGCTCGCTGTATATTTGCAATTTTATGTTTTGTATACAAGAAATGTGATCGCACAGTGAAGTACGCCGAGTTGCAGGGTCAAAAAGCAACACCATTGTTGAAGCTTAATGTTCATTGTTTGGGAGAAAAAACTGTTCTAAGCCGCGACGGTTATGGCATGTCGTGTTTATATATAAAATAAAAAATCATATGTTTACAGATGTGCGTTTAGCAATACACAGATGACTAATTGGCGGAAGTGAATTGGCCAGTAATAGAAAACAAAAATATGTATATATGGCATCGTTATTCTAATGTCGCGAGTTATACAATTTTATATCTGTCATGTCCTATAGCTGCTATTGCGGCTGTGATTGGTCACGGCCGTTGTTTTATTGGAGTGGACGTTTAACGTTCCACGCCTTGATCAAATATGTCATAAAGTATCTCGAGAAATACATGTAAGCCCTTGTTTTACGGTTGTCCCCGATTAACACACTAAATGCATGTCCGTGTGTACGTTTTTGCGTGACAATAAATAATCGTTTCCAAACGGCGCGACAGCTGAATTTTGTCCACGTGTACTCAACGTAGGTTGTTTACTCCGTTGCGAGATTTGTCCTGAGACTAGGCTTCTTGCTGATATCCTTAATAATTCATTGACATCAAACAAACATATACGTTTCTATTATATTATAATAAAGTGGTTTACCAAACAAAAATACTAATGAGCCTTTCTTTTGTCGTTTTACAGATACTAGTTCGAGTCATCTGAACCTGTTCAACTCGAGGGCGCAACCCAAGAAGAAACGCAAATCCCGCACCGCCTTCACCAATCATCAGATTTTCGAACTGGAAAAACGGTTCCTATACCAAAAGTACTTGTCGCCGGCCGATCGCGACGAAATAGCGTCCAGCTTGGGTCTGACCAACGCGCAGGTGATCACGTGGTTCCAAAACAGGCGAGCCAAAATGAAGAGGGATTACGAGGAACAGAAAAAGGACCGGGAAACATTGGCGGCCCTAAGCGAGCATAAGTTGTTCCTGGAGACAGCGCAAAATATGGGCATCCTTAAAAAGAAGACACAACCTACAGAGACCAGTTCGCCCGACAACAAGACGTTCGACGAATAAAATGCGGTTCCTGCTTCTTTCCTATTGTTCGAATCAAAAAAGAAATTACTGTTTTTTTCCCTTTATCCACCAACTCAATTAACATGCATCACAAAAAATTATTGTAATCATGATGCCGCGTGTACATATTATTATTATATCAATTACAACTAAGTTATGTTAAGATCTCATATATTATGTTCATTGCGCCAACGACGGTCTAATAACGCCACTCGTTTCCTCCGTTTGTGTAAAGCTGAGTTTAACGGACGTGTGTAATCAGTATATTTATTATATTATTATTAGGTAAATTATTTATCGGAGAGAAACAACTACTATAATGAACATTTTGTTAATGCGTTAAAAAAAATATATAGAATAAAAACCATGGCATCCTAGTCTTTCTATCGCTAAAGTATTGTGTTTATATTTAACATATAATATTATTAAAAAATTATGTGTACATAATAGTTATAAAATATCTAGCATATTGTACGGTATATCTGTAGTGTCTCTAAAATATTACACTATATTATATGAACCTAAATAATTATATTATAGGGAATCACTTTACTGTTTACAAATACTATCTAGTAGCGTTAAGGACTATTCAGGTAGCTGAATAAAAACTGTATGGTAAAACGTGAAAGTATTATCATGGTTAAAAAAAAAATTAAGCCTAATATGTTAAGTTTTTCGAGTTCGGTACACATAAGTTAAGTACAATGGTATTCGATTATGAATGGATGTATTAAGCGTTTAAATTCCTCACGTATAATAAATTTAAAATTTAAATTTAAAAAACTATATACTCTCATTATGTAATAACTAAGCGTGCATAAAAGTTATTATCTTGATATTATAAAATATTATTACGAGTTAAGTGCTTTGTTAAAATTGTTTTTTCGTTATGTATTTATTTTGTACTAAATTTCGTTAACCTAATACCAAAAATTATTTTTTTTTTTTTAGATCTTTTAGCACTTAATTATTGTATAAAACTATATATTATTATATATCGCATGTAAATATAAAAAAATATATATAAAAAAACATTTTTTTTTTTGTTAATTTTAAAATTTTATAACACTTTTTCTCAATATAACCTAGCGATGCTATTTCTGCGGTGTATATAATATAATATTTAAAGCGACTTTTTGCAACCAATAAAAGCTATTTATCTATCGTTTGCCTTACACATAAGTTTTATTAAGAAACTAATGATGTATTAATTCCGCTAATCATAATGACTTTTAGAGTTGTTGTTCAAAACCTATTGAAAACGTCAGCTCATTTTCTGAAATTTGAAGAACTCGGTAACGTTCAACGTTCGCACAGATTTTCCGATTGACGCCCAGCCTAACAACATATCCATGTTGAAATACATAATTAGACCAACTAAAAATATGGTTAATATAAGGACACAAGGAATGTATTTATGTATAGTTGGAAGAACTTAAGAAAAAGTTGGGCTAGTTAAACATTTAGTTTGCTGAACTAAATGTATAGTTGCTTTAACTTAACATTTAGTTAGCCACAACTATTTATTTAGTTATTCTAACTTAAAATTAATTGTGTCCCTATGTTAAATATTAATAAAGTCAATAAATTAAGTAATTAACGCGAGCAAAAAGATGTATTGTTAAGTTAATTTTAATTAAAGAATCTCTTTATTTATTATTATTCATACACTAATTATTATGTATGTATATCACCGATACTTAATACAATTAACATAAAAAAGTGTTCCGGAAAAATAAGAATTTTTATCGATATTTATAAAACCTTATCTTAATAATACAAAAGTGCAAAGTAGGATTGATTTAGACGGTTAATTTGCCATCGATGCAATAATATAAAGAATTAAACATTTTATACAATACTGTTCTATGTTTTACAAGTGAGGCAATTACATTAAAACTACCGGATCTGAATAAATGTCTAGAAAGTTAAATTTTTTTTTAATTAAAAAAAAACAATAAGCAGGTGTTGCAATACGGTTAAGGAATAAAAGTAATCGACCACCGCGGGTAAGAAATTAATTGTTTTAAACGACTCATTCGGTCGACTGTTGCTGAAACGCCGCGGCAGTAAAATAATACTATGCCTACACGTACTAATGTAATTAAACCATTATGAACTAATCGAAATGTGACCAGATAATAATGTACAATTTAAATTGAAAAAAAAGTTGTTTGTATAATAATAGTATTTTTACGGTGGAGTTATACATGAATGGCTCGCTGTCCGACCGCATCTTGCTCAGAGATGGTGATTTTTGCATTAAACTGTGAAATGGATTCTAGTTAGTGCATTTTGCTTCCATTTGAATTAGGTATAATGCAAAAAAAAAAAACCTCTTCAAAAACATCTTCTACCGTAGCAAATAATATCAAGTGTAATCGTTCAATTTGTAGCTCATTCATTATACGCCATTAATTTGGTGAAACAAATCGACCAAGTACTTCTATAGTTGTACAATTGGTAGGTATTTCATTAATGGCACACTCAGTGTTATACATAGAAACTGCAGTTTTTTAAAAAGCTTTACTCGAGTTTATATAAATACCATTTTCTATGGCTACTAATAGTATCAATTCAGAGCACAACAATTGTACAATTATACCGTCAAAAATTACAATTCTTCTTGTATTGAACATCAAAGCGTACACTGTAAAATAGCGTCAAATAACTGTCGTATACGAAATTGTCCAATACGCACAATAAACACACAGAAAAACTATAAGTCTGTTTTGATAAGTACAATACGAGTATTACTCTAATTACGATTCGCCGTATATCGGGGTATACAGTCAGCACTCCTGACCTAGAGCTAAGTTTATATCTTACCAGCACGCCTAGCCTAACCGTTAAGAAACGAGTTAGTGACTATTTTTTAGCTATAATCTTAGATGAGTCATTGACTATGTCTACACGTAGCTTTATAGAATTTAGTGACTGTTTCCCACGCCAAAAACTCATTATAAATAAACTCACTGACTATTTGATATAGTCAGTTCTTTACTTGATGTAAAGAACCCTTTTAAAATATACTTCACTAAAGTTCAACGACGTCTTGACGTTGTGGCTAAGACGATTACCGTGGCAGTGCTTTTACGCACTAACCGTGGTTCGAATCTCGGTCAATGGCCGTTTCTCTAGCTGGGCGGACAACCGTCAGTAGAGAGAAATGGCCACCCGACTGGTGTGGAACGCAACGGGAAACCACCGCATCATAACCACTTCCCCAGGATGGGAAACTCTTGTTTCTTGTAGAGTAAGAGCTGTCCAATCGACCTAAAACTAACCTATATTTGTAAAAAAGGTTATACGTTCAATAAAAAACGTGGTGCCTATAGCGCAAATGAGTATAAATTAATTTTTAAAAAAAATCTTAAAGACGAATCATTGTGGAACACACTGTATTTAAATAGTAAAAAATAGATAAAATGTTATAGTATAAGAAAAAACTAGTTTGCTAACTATTAGTGTTTATATTTTAGTTTTACGAAATATTAATAATACAATTACTCTTATTTTGTATCGTATTACTTAAAATTTTCAGCTTAATGTTTTAAAATGTTTTTGCATTACTTTTTTAGAAACCGCTCAATAAAATATAATTTTTATTTTATTATATTAAACAACATAACCTTAGAACAGGTAAATTCAATTAAAGATTTTGGTATTATTTTGAGCCAACTATTTTTTTTTTTTCATGAAGAAATGTTATAATTATTGTTGTCAATTGGGTACCACCTTACCGTCAAAAGAATGTTAAATTAACATACGAAAGCATTAACGTCCGCACATAAGGCGGAAACACATAAAACGTTTATAATGTTGAACACTTAAATTAGTTAATTACACGTTATTTTTTACTTGGTCGTATATTTTATTACTTTACGGAGCACTTTGATCATAATAAAATTTGCCTGGGAATTGTATTACTTACGAATAATATGAACATATGGGAGATTAAAGGCATACATTACTCAACGGCGTAGTGATTTGTAAAACATCAACGCAGTTCTTAAATAAATACATTTTTTAAATAATTTACAAGACACATTGCGGCAAGGAAATCATTTCGTTAGCCTAATGATTGATCAGCGTTAATTGTTTTACACATGTGTATTGTACGGTTCAAAATATTGTGTACACTGTTAATACATCTATTCAGACAAAAATAATGAGAACACTAGCCCACCACAGCGTCGGTTAAAACCCGTTTACAATCCGGTAGCTTACTTTCATCAATCATCGGCTCGAAGCTCAAGTCCTAATTCGTATCTCTGAGCAAACGCGCGCCCTCGTGTACTAATATGCATACATAAATTCGTTAGTCGGTTATACAAGGTATATATGACCGCGTACACCCTTAAGGGCATTTAATATGAATAAAATTATAATCGTTATCATTAAACCACCCGACCGACACATATTTCTCTTTCTGTGTTGCCGCCGCCGCGCATACTTATCTGTACCTAGTGAATAACATAGAATGTTGTTATTATAGTAAAATATCTCGACGTGTATAATTTCTTCTCGCTCGGCCCGATTGATCCATTTTCAATCTGTTTGCCCCTACTAAACACATCAGTCGTATACGCTAACACACGGATCAGAACTGGTCTGTCTGTACCTACACCGCATGTCCTTGTACCTGTAAGGTGTGTACAATCTGTACATCTAGACATAATAATATTATGATGTACGATCAGTAATTTACCATCGATAACCGGTGACGGCGCGGCGGCTTAGCATCAAATTATATTGTCCGCCGCGTGTCATCGAATAGAAATCTAAATCAAAACGATTATTATATTTTTTTTTTATGTTTTTATTTTATCATTACAATCTTACGCTTACCGTGTGGCCACCAAACAGGTTAATAATGCATCATCATTTTTAATAAAATTTGTATTAATACAAACAGGATCGTCAAAATATCATGTCTTTATATTTTTCCATTGACTATTTTGTGCAATGTAAAAAAAAAGTCACTTTAAAATATAAATAAAGGTCATAAAATACATTATAATTTTACATTCAAATCTTAATTTTTGGGAGTAGTTTTATCGAGGTGATTTTAAAAATTCAAATTATTTTTTTTTGTTTTCTGTCAATATATCGAACGAATGTTTTATTACTGATAGATAAACATTTTTAATATTTATACTTAAAATTATAAGGTAAGTTTTGAGGTGCCCCTAATGTGGGGTATCCTCCTCATGTTAATCATGTGTATAGTTTATAAAAATACTCATTGTAAAATATAATTTACAGATTATATGTTTTTCAATAAAAGTCAAAAAGTAAAAAAAAAAAAAGGTAAGTTACAGTTATTAAAGTACTCCAATTATATTTATTTATTACTCAAGTAACAAAGTTTTTAGCCTTATTCTAAGGTTTTCAAATTAAAAAGTAGAAGTGATTGTTTTTTTTTTTTGTAAAAGTATGATAAAAAGTTTAAATTAGAGTCTATCCATCTCTCTATTTTTAATTACTATTCCCTCTCAACCTGTTCCATCTTATTTGTTCTGCTATTGACGCAATCCCTAAACTTCCTATTTTATACTCATTTCTTTTATCCTGTCTTACCTAGTTATTCTATACACCCATCAACATTTTAATTTAACCAACTTACATTTTTTTAGATTTATTTTATTCAGAGCTGAACACTGATTTCCATACATCATGTTTATATTTTAGATACATATGATAGGGTTTTGTACTGTTTACAGGCTCTAGCGATTACATTCTTCGATATCGGTTTCATTCATTAATTATATATTTTATCATTATTTTTAATAGTATACATTTTGTAT